TATTCTTCTCAATCAATGGTTTTGCAGTAACATTCTTACTTTGATTTTATTTATATTAACGGATGTTCTAATTTTATTCACCACAGTTAAATATTTTGTTTTCTATAGATTTATAAAAAAAAAAATCACAACAAAGCCTTAGAGATTTGAACCCAAACATATATAATTGCTTTCCTTTGTTTGGTTTTATATTATTTGTCTGGAAACAATTTTTTTTCTTTTTGTGTGTTAAACCCTAACTTGGAATCCAAACCTAAACGCAGACTAGTGTTGTGGTAAAAAAATGGCATCCTTGTTGTTTACCGATTGTTTCTCTTCCATGACGTCGCGTCTGAGACTCATCCATCCGAATCGCCCCAACGGGGCTTTTCTCCCCAGCCGGTGCGTCGAACAGCTCAGCTTACTGACCACTGCGTCCCCTCGTGGCTGCGGCTGCGTTCTCTTCATTCGCTCCTCTTCTTGTACAGAGACTAAACCCTTTTGACTTAATTTAGCATGAATTTCAATTATGTAATATTCTCATAAGATTTGCTTTTCTGTTCAGCTGATGCTGCGGCGATGGTACTTGATGATTCTTCTGTAACAAAAGAGATTATAGATGAGATCAGAACCGATGTTTTAAAAATGAAGAAATCAATCGGTGCGGTTCCTGGATTAGCAGCAATCCTTGTTGAGGATAGTAGCAAGTTCTCCGAATCTTATACATTTTATGAGGCTACTTGTACAGTAGTACAAATGAAATCATTCGAAGTTCGTCTAGCTCAAGATTCCTCAGAAGAGGAGGTGTTGAAATCTGTCTCACGTTTGAACGATGATCCTCGTGTCCATGGAATCGTTGTTCCCTCGCGTCCACTGCCATCGGTATTATTTGGTTGAAGAAAACTTTTTCAATTTTTATTCAGGTATTACTTTATCGAGTATTAATTTATTTATCGACTATAGATAGAGCATATGGATGAGAAGATAGTGAAGTGCAGAGAAAGACGCTGACGGATTTCACCAGTTAATTATTGGACTTCTTGCAATGCGCGGAAGAGAACCTTTCTTCGCTCCAAAAGGATACATATATTGTAATCTCATATATTGGTCAGAGGAAGCTGGATAAAACCAGGCGCAGTCGTCATCAATGTTGGAACTCATTTAGTGAGGGTAAGTAGTGAATAATTAACGCAGTTATAATCGTTGAGATTAAGTGACCAATACGTGACATTAATAATGTAGGATCCAAATGCTCCACAAGGCTTTCGAATAGTCGGAGACATTTGCTATGAAGAGGTTTGCAAAGTTGCATCAGCCATCACACCTTTTGAAAGTGGTGGTGGAAAAGAATTATTGGCCGACTTCATGCGTCTATCAAACGTTTTAACATCAGCCAAAAGATTTCACAACTTTATGTAACCTTTCTACCTTAAAAAGAATATTACTGCTGGTCTTTTTGGATTGAACAAACCACACCAATGGTTAAAACAATTATTCCCTTAGTCTTTTCTATTCGAATACAAGTTTGATTGATTGCTCTGGTC